GCACTCCTTATGGCTCAGCACCCAGGTGCTCCAGCAACAGGTAGCGCCGGGCCATTGCATTTCTGAGGCATGCTGGCCCAATCCGTAATGGTTGAGCAGCATGTTTACTTGCTGTGCAACCATCTTGTCGATGTTTTCCCTGGAAACAGGTGCATGTGCATGCAGTACACCCTGGTGTTGTGCAGCCGTGCCACTGTGTTGGATAAAAGGTGGAGGTCGAGCTTCAGCCTCGCAACGTCTGTCTGCACATGCTCCTGCTGATGCTGCAACTGCCCCTGGTGCTGCTGCATTTTCTCCTCGTGTTCCTGGATCTTAAGTGTTTGCTGCTGCCACTTCTGATTGTAATGAAGAGCGGGTTGTCTGAGCATAATCAGCTAAAGCTTATTATGCTCAGACAGCCCTCCAATTTATTGTTATCAACAGTTGCAGCAGCAAGCGCTGAAGATGCAGGAGCACGAGCAGAAAATGCAGCAGCACCAGGGGCAGTTGCAGCATCAGTTGCAGCAGCACCAAGAGCAGGTGCAGACAGACATTGCGGGGCTGAGGACCGACCTCCACCTCTTATCCAACACGCTGCACGGCTGCACAACACCAGGGTGGTCCGCAGCCAGGCACTAGTTCCGGCACAAGCTTCCGCTGCAATTGCCGCTGCAACTGCTGCTCAGCAAGCAGTCTCAGTGCTGCAGAAGAAGGTACCGTGAATGCATGACGAGTGCTTTTCAAAATAGATTTCGCGGAAGACGTTTGGCGCGGCGTAATCGGACCGTCGTAATTGGCGGCTCCAATTCGTCGCACTGGTTCCGGAGCCAACTCGTTGAGAATGAAACCGCTTTCAGTGGCCGAAACAGAGAAGGAAAATATTAGTTCGCTGCATAGAAAGTTTTCAAGAAAGACTGTCATCTTTCACGAGGCCAGGTTAAAAAAGCCAGTATACTTGTTACGGCTGAAATGTACCAAGCGTTGAGCGCCTTCCTAGGGCAGCTTGCTCAGGCGCATCAAAGCTGCATAACAGGCTAGGCAGGCGGTTCAGCAAGCAGTCCCAGTGCTTCCCTCACCTGAGCCGGCCATCCAGCAATAGATCCTCCAGTCCTTGCAGCAGTTGCAGCAGACCAAGAGCAGACGCAGCGGCACTTGCTGCAGTTGCAGCGCTTGCTGCTGCACCTGTTGATGGTTCCGCTGCAACTGCCGCTGCGTCTGCTCTTGGTTCTGCTGCTGCAACTGCTGCAAGGACTGGATGTAATGTGCAAGAGCAGTTACACATACCCACCACAACCTGGCCGCTGCTACACACTCATTACCCACCCACCCACCTGCCACAGGCGATGACGACTTCTACATGCAGTCCAAATCCAACCACTGTGTGGGTTGTGGCTGTAGCAGCCACTACCTGGACTACCAGGTGCTCTCCACTTGCTACCGCCACCACATCCCCACCACCCTGAAGAGCCACCGCTCACATGATGTGCTGCTGTGCATCGACTGCTATGAGTGGCACAAAAGGACTTGGGGCCCCCTTAGGGGGTTGGGTGTGGGGAGTTTCAGGGGAGGAGAGCAAAAGGGGAGAGGTGGATGCTAGGGGGGTCGGTTTAAGGGGTCCAGGTATGTGTGTGTGTGTGTGTGTTATATCCTGTAAGCTTTCTGCACAGCTTGCGGCTCCATAGCCTATCTGTCGGCAGTTAGCTTGTCCGTTTTGATTTACTTGACTTTGCTGTTTCTAACGAATACCTGTATATATCTGCTGTCGATGATTACAGATCTAAACTAATACCGATATTAGTTTACTTGCAACTATGATAGTCACGGCGGCTTGCGACTACTAATAGTCAATTCCGCCATCTGAATGCCGCACTACTGTGGAAGTCCATAGAGTATGGGTGTGTTGTGACTACCGATAGTCACGGCGGCTTGCGACTACGGATAGTCGAGCTCACCATCTGAATGCCACATCGCTGTGGAAGTCCATAGAGTATGGGCGGGGGCTTTACCTAAGTAAAGCTGGGACCTGCGTCCCTGGTTCGTCTGACGATCGAGAGTAATTCCCGAGAACTATGGCATCTGGAAATCCTGCTGCCCAGTCATACTGGGGATGTGTTGGCACAAGGCCCAAGTGGAGTCACTGATGACTATTTCTTCAAGCCACTTGTCTCTATCGGTATCTTTCAATACCACCATCTCATGGTTGTGTCGTCTGAAGCATACTACAGTGTGAGAGTGAGAATGGCGCCTGGAGGGCTTGTGTGTGTGGCTATTTGTATAGTGGGCTGGAATGAGGTGCAGGGTGGGGGTGCTGCTTAGCCCATTGACGGCTCCGGCAGCACTGGTGATGACATTATGTGAAGTGATGCTGATGTCAATGCAGAAGCTGACAGTGCTGGTGCAGACACTGGTGGTGGTG